GTTTGTGTGTCATTGAAGCAGCAGTAAGCATGATAATCAAGCTAATCCTAGACAGGGGCGGATCCAGACCTCCATTTTAGGGGGGTGGGCGGTTCCTCGGTGTAAAACGGCGGGGGGGGGGGGGGGGGGGGAGGGGAAGTGTTTATATTTTTTGTGGAGTTATCGTTTTTACTAAGCTCTGATAACATAATATTGATCTTGAGAGCTTTTGTATCGGTTGACCTGTCGTGGATGAACTCTGAATTAAAACCTTTCGGGTGACCACGCTAGAGGTAAGTATCTAGAAAATTGTGGTGGCACTATCCGTTCTGAAACTTGGGTTTCAGACCGACACTAGGTGAGCAGTCGATTTAGGGCAGCTTAAAGACATTGCCTTGGCAGACATTCTGGTTGGAGCTAGTGCTCAACTGCTGCGGCAACGGGAAGAGCGGCTTAAATCAAAGGAGCAAGTACGTTGCAAACAAGCGACAAAAATGGCCCGGCGGCTTCGACGCTGCTCGCGGTGTCAAAACACTGTTGACGCAGCGAGCGAAACAAACGCTGCCAGGCAAGCTCGTCGGTTGTTCGCCGTATATTTGGAATGTCCAGAGCGCAGCACATGCGGCATTGCCAACCCAAACTCGTGTTTTCACGTGTTCTGGATGCAATTCGAGAGAACGAAAGCGAATAATTGTTGAATAGTATTGAAAGCATGTTGCAGTTCGGCAACTATAACTTTTAAGCTTAGACAAGACTTTAAACCAGCAATGGATCCTTCCAAATTATATTCAATTGCACTTCGTCTGGATATTTTTTGTATGAAAGGAACACATGTTTCAGGGTAGTTAGCTCATTCGTCAGGGTCGAGAGGACAGGTGCAGAGATATGATGGGGCAGAACGGGTGTCCGGTCGGCGAATCTCAACTGGACTAAAGGCCGATCACGACTGCAGCAACTGCAGCATGGATGTTTGGGAGTCGGCTCGTTTTCCCCAAGTCCCTAGGTGGGGAATTCGAAGCCGCAGTTGGAAACCAGCAAGCCCCGCCTCTGTTCCATTCGATACACACATATTCGCTCCTGCAAAGCCGCGCGAAAGCTCTGCCGTCAATCCACAGAAGCCGCGTTTAACTCGAAAAGTAAAGACGGCGCCAAGGGGAGACAAGGAGTAGTGGGCGCCTTTCCTAAAATATGTCCCGCCACCCTAAGTTGAAACAGCATTGTATACAAATAAATGCCTACGGCATCGGCTTGAGGACCCCGTGTAAGCAGCCTCCAGCCTTTAGAGTGCTCCTACCGTTTATCTTTCTTTTATTAGCTTCCCGCCATGAGAAGTCGTACCGCAGGCAGTATGAAGTTCATTAGAGGAAACATTGCCCCCTTCTGGCGCTCGTCAGCTTCTTTTTGTATTCCGCGCTGTGGCGCTGATCCTCAGTGAGGGATGGAAGGGAGGACGAAAGCGGACTTATTTTTAAGCCAAGGTCGTGGGGAAGTCCGGAGCGTCTTCAGGAGAAGCTCAGACCCAGACTACACTGTAACCAGCTCTAGCATTTGCTTCCTGCGTCGATTGCTTCCGTTTTTTCTTCGAGCTGACGAAGAACCCCGGGGGGGGGGGGGGGGGGGGGGGGGGGGGAAGTTGCCTGGCGAGGCGTTTGGGGGGGGGGGGGGGCGATCGCCCCCACCGCCCCCCCCCCCCCACCCCCCCCCTTGGATCCGCCACTGATCCTAGACAACCAGGAAAGCTAATAACCAGCTTAACTCATCGGATCCCGAAGTAGTCACATAATGCGTATCCCAGGTGAAAATATGAAGTGGTATTTCAAGTGGTACCTTTTGCTTTCAAGTGGTGCCACTTGCAAGTCAAGTGGCACCACTTACAAGTCAAGTGGTGCCACTTGCAAACCAAGTGGCACCACTTGGGCTTCAAGTGGTGCCACTTGGGCCTCAAGTGGTACCGCTTGGGTTGCAAATGGTGCCACATAAGCTTTAAGTGATACGGTTTGGTTGCAAATGGCACCAGTTTGCAAAATCACACATATCACTAATAAAATAAGTGAAAGTTGTTGCTCAATCTGAAAAAAAAGTTTCAGGTGTCTTAAATATGTTGTTGTTACAAAAAGCCAAATTCAAATATTTTGACAGGATTTCACACATGTATACAGTGTGACAGAGGTCTATGCATATTGCATAGACCTCAGTGGGTATCCATCCAGGGCGTTTCCCTGGATGGATACCCACAGACCTCGGCTTTGAATCTTTATATAGTGTGAAGCTGCCGACCCATTGCAGTTGGCTCGGCATCTGGAGGCGCTGGTGCGCTTGGTGACAATACTTGGACAACTCGGATACCGCTTGCCCGCCGGAACTTCCCGATGCACTCAACACTGGATACTGTGCTTGTGCGTGCTGTGTATGTGTTCCGTGCACGGTGTTTGGTGACGACGCCTGGACGACCGTGTGCGCCACCGGAATTACCGCTGCGCTCACCACTGGACTCTACAAAAGTATTTCGCGTGATGCCCTTAGCCGTTACAAGCGAGAGGTCGTCACGATTTCAGACTTAGTCCGCTTGGGTCTGAAATCGCGACGATCTCTCGGCTAAGGGCATAGCACGAAATTCTTTTGTAGTAGAGTCCAGTGGTGAGCGCTGCGGGAATACCGGCGGTGCACCACCTGGGTCTAAAATTGGGGCTGGATTTAAACTGGTGCCCCAATTTTGGGTTTTGGGTTGCTAACTGGTGCCATTTGTAACCGGCATTTTTCATTCCGGCCTGTATCTGACATTTTCGTACGGGTTGAGCTTGAGCAACAAGATGTCTCGTCATCCCTACACAGGCAATGAGAATCGCCGGAGAACGAATCACGAGCCAAGAAGATAACGAATCACGCTCAACGTTTTTAAAGCCGCCATTTGCCACGTGTACCGCGTGTACCCGTTTGGGGTGTGTGTCTTCATTGTTATATTTTCATATATTCGGATAACTTCGTCTTCTTTGCTGTGTGTTAATTCACTTACTTCTTCTTCATCATCATCATTTTTGAATAAAGAGTCTCATGAGAGCAGCACAGGTGACTGGACGTTCCTTCCCGTCCCGCCCGGTCCACCGAGGACTCCAGATTCTTTTGAAGACGGTATATGGACGGCGGACTCGGCATCAAACTTCCTCAAGACATTTTGAGTGAACCGGGAAGTCGGAAATTTTCTGGGAGCGATGGAACCCGCTCTTCGAATGTTTCATGGGGGCATGTGGTGCTCACGCACTGCCCTCGGAATTTCGTCGGTACCTGCTGCGCCAATGCCTGGGAGTGGAGGGTCAACCGGTCTTCGACATATGGCCTTCATCTCGAGGTGTCGCTGTGCCGTCGCCAGCAACGACGTCAGTGGCATCCGCTTCTAGAACTCCGACGAGAGACGTCTATCAATTGGAGGCTGTCGACACCCTCAGCGCGTATTATGAAAAGTCGTGCCACATGGACCTGGAGCGTCATCGGTTCCGCTAGCGTTATCAACAGCCCGAAGAACCATTGTCGGATTAATAGACTACCCTACGGGACTTGGCAGTTCTGACCGTTGCGACCAATCGGGGCACCACCATCGGCTCCTATCAAGCAGAAAAAATAATGAAGTAGACCAAACCAACCTAGGGAGGCCTAAACCAACCATGGTAGCCAAAGGCATGGCGCCAGCGATTTGGGGTCGCGTGGGACTTGCCTGAACGACTTATGGGGGCAAGGTGGCACCGAAGGACAGACAAAAGCAAAATGTGGTGGTCCGGAAGGAACTGAGTCCCTTCAAAGTTGGCCTCGTCATAGCTGTAAATGGGTTCAATCTGTTCAATCATATGACTGTATCCCCATGAGTTGTTAATAGATTAGTATTTTTTTGTTGTCTTTGCATAAACAGTGCAACACTGGAGACACCAGAGCAAGGTGCCTGTTCAGCAAGTCATCACTAACGTGTCGACAGTCCTCTCACAAAAGACCCAGGACTCCCGAAAAGCTCTGAGGCACCTGGGTTTTGAGGATTTTTAATTTTCATCGGCCCAAGTACTTCTGCTCTTCAAGCACTCTCAACTGCAAAATAAAAGTAAGAAAGACTAACATCTGTCTTTGTGCATCTATATGACAATGGTACCACTAGCAAGTGGCTTATTGAATAGGTACCATTTGCAAGTGGTACCACTCAAAAGTGGTACCCCTTGCGAGTAGTACCATTTCCTAGTGGTACCTGTTCAATAAACCACTGGCAAGTGGTACCACTTTCAAAAATTTTCACTTGGGATACCGTGTGTGTTTGTCATTGAATTAGCAATAAGCATGATAATATCGAGCTAATAGGCCTAGACAACCAAAAAAGCTAAGAATAACCAGCTGAACCTAAGCTTACGCTACGTACATCCTGGCATAGCCGAGCTAAGCCACAGCAATTTTTTGTCATCGTTGGGTGATCGGAAGTCAGAAAACAATAAAGTTTTAGAATCGCACTCAGTGGCAGAGCGCCCATGCCGTGGAAATCATTGAGATCATACTGGAAATGCTGAGAAACCGAAAGTCAAGATCGTCAAGAATCCCAAGATACTTTACGTTACCAAGATGGCCGCGTGCACAGTGCTGCCAGACCATCAAGCAGTTTCGCATATCATCTCTAAAAATCGCGTGACTTGGCCTAGTGCCACTAAATAGTGGCTCTAACTTGGCCTATGAGCATTCCATTTCAAGACAAATCTATCCGTTTAATTTTGGTGTCAATTTGTGTCCGATAAGCAGCAGAACCACTAGCAGAACAGTCTTCCGCTCTTTTGTTCATGGACCAGGATCTTCTCGCCAAATGCCTTGAGTCACTCCGACTTTTCACTTGTCTCGTCACCACAAGAAAAATAAAAGAATTGAAAATAATGTTAAAGAAACCTTCACGTCTTGTACAATAAAAAATTAATAAATCCAAGAAATAAAATTATCATCATCATCAGAACTTAGCGACTTTTCGCTGAAACTGGCGACTTTTAGGCCGCGCCTGACGACTTCGCCCCCTCCAAAAAAAAAAAGTTTGCAGCACTGGCGGCGATTTCGGCGTAACGTTATTTGCTTTAGCAGTTCTTTGATGCACGTTCGAGTCATTTACAACCAAAGCATTGTTCCTGCTGGAAAATTTGGTATCCCACGTAAGTATGCAGCTGGTTTAGACAGCATACTTGCAGAGTTTCATCAGTCTCATTCAGTTTCACAGACGGTCTTTGTCAGCTGCCGCTCTGGTGCTTTCGGAGCGTGCTTTCTCTGTTTTGGAAGTTTCATGCTAGAGCAACTGGGCTGTTCCACTCGCACGCATTATTTGTAACGCTATGTCTTAAGCACGACTTGCTGTCCAACGGCACTTTTGTGGAGGGTAAAGTGCCGTTCGAGCCGGTGTGTTCTGTTTGGCAGGAGCCCTTTAGAAAACGTTACCTACAGTTCGCGCTTTCTGGGAAGTGCAGACAAATAGCGAGTTCGTTTCACGGCACTCGTGCCACCGCGTGCCCACTCGCAGCGTGGAGCGGGTTCTTTTCGGCCGGCACTCCACGAGTGGTTGCACTCTCCGAGTTCATTTCAGCGCCGACATCCCACGCGTGCATGCACTTTCTGTACCGAGGAAATCAAGCGTACGCCAAAGCGCAATCCCGTCATGCCCCGCTCCGGCGAGCAGCGAGGGCAGACGACAAGGGGTCGTCTGCTACGATGTGTCATTCGTAGGAACCGAAAGGAAAAAAATAGATTTTTTTTTATAGAAATCATGTCCCGCGGGCAACGCAATCAAACGCGAGCTTTAATTGTGAGCGTCTGCTATTTCACGAAAGAAGCAATTGACGACCCGTGCTTTATTTGCAATTTTTTAGTCGCTTTGTTGCCGTACAGACGCAGAAATATAACAGTGTGCAAAGAAATGCTCAAAACAAACACATCAGCGGCCCCCAAGATCTTTGTCACTATCTGTGTGCCGGTGAAAAATTGAACATTTGTCGACGAAGATCCCCCAGCAGAAACCTGTGACTGCCTAATACGCATCCGAGAAAGCTAAACATAGTGACTTGGGGCTTGGGCAACATCATATGTTTAACATTTGCCAACGTCGGCTATCTTGCCCCGTCGTATTTTGGTTAAAGGAGCTGTGCAACGATTTTAACGTTGAAAGAATTGGCATCTTCTGCTTTTGATATTGTTCACCTTGTCACAAATGACAGAAAACACACCTCCTTTTATCGAAATGTTGTGATTCCGCCGCGTAATAGCGAGGCAAAACTTAGAATATTCCCCGATTTGCAGCCGCGAGCGGCGGCCATGAGAAACACGCGGCATGACGTCAATGGGGAATCTTCTAGAAAGATTGCAAGTTGTGCGAATACCTGTTCGATAAAAGGTAACTTTTCTATAAATCTTGTCGTTCTAACATGTATATAAATGCGTCAAAAACCTGGTATCATCGACAAAACTTTTATTATATGGAGTTTTAGTGGCGCCATCTATCCAAGGTCCACAAAACCATCAGCTCTATCGGCTACCGCAAACAGCCGCCAGAAGCCGGAGGGGGAGGGGGACAGGGCCGGACAAGTTTTCGCCACATTGTTCGCGCGGCGCCCGCCAGCACGTGGTCACGCGGTTGCGAGCGGATGAGTTCTCGCTGCTCACTGATGGCTCTAAAGAGAGAACTTTACCGGAACCCTGCGCCTACCCCATCAACGTCACTGTGCACGTGACCCGGAAGACGATGTACGAGCTGAGAGGTGGCAAAAACCTGGATCTTTTTAATTTGTTTAAATAAAAACTAGGGTATCCAGGCAAAATCTGTTTTCTGTAGTTCACTCCAGAAGTGTCAGGCATCAACTTCCACAATGATTTAAGCAAAGCCCTGAAATTGTTGCACAGCTCCTGTAAGGAAGCTCTCGTTCTCGACGCCCTCATCAAGGCTAAAATCTGATCCACCTGTAACTACGATCGAAATCGAAAGTCTTACAAAACGTTTTGCTGGATATTCCAACAGACTAGTTTTAAATTGTACCCTTTCAGTGGTTCAGGGATAATACCATGCTCAAACGGATCAAGCTTCTGCACGGACAGCATCATCAGTTTTCTCCAGTGTAAACCCCAGCTGCTTTGTAGTCAGCTGGTTGCTCAAATTTACGCCGTCTCTAAATATCTCTTCACCAGCCGAGTTGCTTGAAGTCATCGCAAATAAAAACTACAGGTTGCAGCGACCAACGTTTATAGATAAACGTTGGTAGCGACTGCACTCTCGCATTCCCAACCTGCACGTCGAACAGAAAGGCGCTAATTTCAGTTTGAGATCGGTACACTTTCTACAACATAGATGGCGGCAGCATCAGTCTTCTGCACCTGGTGCATTTGGCAAATTTGTTTGAAGCCAGTTCTTTGTGCGACACTCCGCGAGTGGGATATATTCTGGGAGAGAACTCGAACGGTGCCAGTGCGTGTGAAACAAACTCGCTAAAAGTATGCTCTTGTGACTGGGCAACTGACGTTTCTCGATGGATGGATAAATGAATGTTAATGGGTATACCCTTCGTAATGGGCGGTAGCTTGCGCTACCTAGCCTAAGTCTAACAAGACAAACAGCTACACGGGACGGAGTTCCAATTTTCTGCTGTCCCGCCTGTCCCAGCTATGCTAGTTAGTTGTGCATCACTCAATTTTCCCTAGATAATTTCCACCAATCTTCTAATCGCCTCTTTTTGACTGTGATCCTTTTTTATTCCGTCCTTCCATCATCACCAGCAAAACCTAGGGCCCCAGCCAAATCTCTTACCCCTTCAGGGAGGGCAGGGCGAAGCCCCGTGCAATTCAAAACCAAGTGCTCTAGTGCTTCACTCTCATTATGGCAGGCAGCACATAAGGTGTCTATCTCCTGAAATTTAGCCCTATACGTCCTCGTCCTCAAAACTCTTGTTCTCACCTTAAACATTGAAGAACTTCCCAGTGAATTGTCAAACACATTTTTCTTTATGTTCTGTACATTGTTACAGCTTACTTTTCCTGCTTTCTTACCTCCCACAATTGACCCCGTAAGTGACGACGTCACAACATGGCATCTGGGTCCAAACAAACCGTTGCTAGGGACGTTGCTATGGACTAATGCATGGAGACTCCACATGCGGCTAGAGTTTTGCTTACAAGTAAGTAAATAATTTTTTGTAAGTAACCTAACTTCTTGATATCTAATTATGAAGATGTTCTTGTCGTCTCAGTGTCGTATTGCAACACTGAAAGCCATTTCCGAAGTATTACTGTCCGCTTTGCTTTGGTAGCAGACGACACAATAGATTTGCTGGCCTCTGTTGCAGCGGGCGTCTTCATTGAATTGCGTCGGTAAACAAGCGACAAAAACAAGTGCATTGCCGTGGCCGTAGAGGCCTCCGCAATGTGCGTTTTTTTTTTTTTCTGTGAAGAGCCCAATTTAGTTTAGAGAGGTGAAAATGCCGTAAAATCAAACCACGTCATGCAGATCATTTACGACGACGACTTGAAGTGCATTACCGGCGTACTGCAAGCCAGTATGAGAAACAAATCGTATGCCGTCAAGGTAATTCATTTATTATTATTATTATTATTATTGAGGTTGTCAGGTTATTAAAGAATTCCATGTCTATCGCGATTTTTCAGTAACCATTGCAGCGATGGTTACAACCAGGTACGACGCACCCTTACATAGCGCGAGTCCACAAACAAAATTTGGGATCTCGACCCATTGCCTGAAGTGCTTTTATCACGGGTCCTATACAATCTTTTAGCAGACGATCATCTCGATCGACGCCCGGACTTTCGATAAACCATATTTTGCATTGCACCCCTCTGTGAATTCTTTTAAGTTACTGAAATCATTATATTTAGAGCAAATGCAATATCAGAATATCGTCCTTATTCACACGATTCAAACGACGGCGCCGGCTTGGCCTGCCGGCGTGTGGCAGACGGCATACTTCTTGCATTCGTCGTCTGCTGCAGGCCTCTTGAGGACCGGAAGTTGCAGTCGTAAATATTTCAGAAACAAGCGATTATTGGCAGACTTCTGTCGCAACATATATGACATTCAAGCTTTCTATATCTGTGATTTTTAGAAGTGTAAATCCTACTCCTGATTTTTGAACGGTCGTGTTTTCGTAGCGAAACCTGTAGTCGGTTGCAAGCTAAGAAAAAACCGGAAATGCCTCTCAGAGGAAAATGTAATCCTACGCCGACAAACGCCAGCCAATCGTTTTCATGACGTCACAATTCCGTGGACCAATCGCAATCTTTTTGAAAAAAAAAAAAAAGCTCAACATGGCTGCTGGCCTTAGCAATGCGACGCTAGTTTCTCGTGACAATTATTCTGCTTTTTTGCACAGTGTTTTACGTGCCCGAGGTTACGCCACGAATTCTTAATGGTATCGGCTTGCGTTTGCAGCAGTTTTTGCACGACAACGTGAGAATCCAGCGACGCTATCGCCAACGAAAATTTCGAAGCGGGCGCGAGGCTTAGCACTGCTGAGAGGTGAGAAGACGGTATGTTAGACAGTATCTTGGACAGAAAATGAATTGGAAAGACGGTACATTGGACATGACTTTCTTTCTTTACTAAACAGCTATTTCGTTGACAAAAACATATTCTAACTTATTTAAAGGTCCTGAATGAATGAATTAAATAAATATTGTAGTAGTTTAAGACATGTTTCCTGGAGGAAGAAAAAGATACGTTGCTAGCGAACTACTTTCTCGACGGCGGAGGCACTTCAGATAGGCGCAATGCGCTTTTGGGTGGAGCTAAAAGATTGTTCTCAGGTTGCATCCGACTATAGCCACATGTATTTGTCCATAACAACGACCCTAGCAACGGTTTGTTTGGACCCATGACGTCACACTTACGGAGTCAATTTTTTTCTGCCTCTTTCACTCCCTTTTCCACTGAAGTAGTCTGCTGAGCCCCATCACTATAGTGTGTAGGTATTTAAATATAAGCTTTCGGGTTTGGCTAGTCCATTTTGTGTTTCAACTTTTCATGTATAGATACTTAAATACCTTCCGTGCGTATCGTGTATCATCCATTTCGGTCAACCTCTGTCCAAATTTCAACTTACTATTTGCCTCTTTGCTCTCAAAAGACGACTAGCCCATGTGCCCCTGTACACCTTCATTTGTT